CTGCATTTCTAAACTTTTAAACAAAGTAACTCCTTTACACTTTGCGTCAGTCAACTACGGTGGCTCATTATCGTGATATCGTGCAAGCCCCTATAATTCAACTCGTGCCTCGGAGCGAATATACTGCTGTGTAGTCCTGGCACAATTGCATGCCATAAAATGTCAGCTGCAGCCCAGTATCTTGCTTTCCCTCGACTTCAGCGCAAACACCTGCAAGTAACCGTCTGGTTTCACAGCTGTGAAATGCTTCAAAAGGATTCATTTCTGGTAATCCAAGTTCTTGTTTTCCATCAAAATAATAATCAAATAAATGGAACAAGGACTTTCTCACAGACAATTCAAAGTGATTTTGGGTGGGATTCATAATTGGTCTGTGTGGGACAGTTGCCATGTACAATATATTGCATTAAATGTAAAAACAACAAACAACCATTTCTTGGCCCTGGAGCGTCTGTGAATTATGATCATAAGGGAATGAAAGCAAAGATAAGTACAATGAAACAGATGGATCCGTCTCATACCGTCTCATGCAATCCTAAAGACTTCGCTGTGAAGCCATCGAGTCTCAACAGCTGCCTAAACTCCAAACCCAGAGGGTGGTAACAAACTGAATCCTGACCAAGCAAGCAGGAAAAGAATGAGATGAGGTATCTGGATGGTGTCCAGGACTTCAAGGCATCCACCTCTAACCCATATTTTTGCAGACTTCGGCGTACTCGCAGCCTCTCTTCATTAATCTAATAATGGCACACCTCAATAACATAACCAAGTCACCAAATTTATTAATTCACTCCATTCCCTCAGACGTAACAGAATAACATTACATTTTTTTTAATAAGATTAATTAATTAACAGCTGTGAAGCTTATGTGTTCAGTTTTACATGCACATCAAGTCATTAATGTATAGTCTAATGAAATTGGAGGGTATTTTTATTCAAATCTATTAACTTTTAAAATAATTCTGCCTATGACATTCTGGACTCTAGCTGGCTCAAACTTCCTTCAGTGCAAGTCTTTTGGATTCTCATTTCATCTTTCGCTTAGCCAAAACTGTAAGTCTAATCACTCATTCATGTGCGTAACAAACATTACATCCTAAAGTTTAATGCTTTCAAATAGAGGTTTGCCTTAGGAACCACTAAAAACAATAGCAATAACATTATGCTTCAAACTTAAAACCCAATGACAAGTAGGGTTGGGTATCGTTTGGGTTTTTTTCAATACCGGTGCCAAATCGATACTTTTAAAATGGTTCCGGTGCCTAAACCGATACTTATTAAAAAATATATAAATAAAAATTCCCCAAAAAATTATGGATTGGCCATTAGCACTATAAACACATGATGTCTGTTTCATTCATACTGGACACCAGAAGGCGCCCTCGCAAAGAAAATCCACATATCCAGTCACAGAAGTAGTGGAACTCATGACCCTCCAGGAAATCCCTTATATGGACAAAGGCATCGCTATTATAGCTGTAACTGAGTAAACAGAACATATAAACGTTTTGAATGATAAAACAAAGACAATAAACACTCGACTGCGACAATATAGTTTATCTATGTTATTCAAGCCATCTCTGGTATTTTCATAATACTTAAGTATATTTATAATCCATTGCTAATCGATGTATTCTTTTTAAAGTAGCCTATGGAACATATTTTCTGCCTCATTCTGTGACAAGAAGCCTCATCAGATCACAAAAGGAAGCATTTGACTGGTGTTGTGGAGTAAGAAGGTTATAATGTTCTCTTTTGTTGGACAACAAGTTTAGAAATGTGAATACAGGGGAAGTTTAGCTTTAGGCATTTTAATTTAAGCATGTTAACGCTTAGTTAACATGCTTAAAGCTTAGATAATGGAAGGCTACCTGCTGCCATCAGAGCAAGTGTAATTACTGCATTCACGCGCTCCTCGGATGCTCTTATTTCCCCGACTTGTGCTTTTAAGTCAGAATGTGAAAACAACATGGATACTCGCGATTTGGATTTGTATTATTACAGATTTGCGACTTGAGTTCACGTGCATTTTCTCGGTCGGGAAATTATTTTTCACATGCGGTGCCGGTGAGGATGCTTCTTACGTCCGTTTCGGAGAACCAGAGGACAAATATTTCAATCGATCGCTCAGGCATGGCACCGAAATGAGGCACCGAAATCTGCGTTCTGATTCTGTTCTAGTACATACCGGTTACATAGGTACCGGTGCCATATTGGTACTGGGTTTCGGTACGCAAACTTAATGACAAGCTGCTAAGAAGGTTAAATAATTAAACAAGAAGAAAGTGTAAAGAATTTGAAATTATTTTGACAACTTTTGAACTTGCTTTCAAAGTTCACCTATGACTTAAAGGGGTCATATGATGTGATTTCAAGTTTTCCTTTCTCTTTGGAGTGTTACAAGCTGATTGTGCATAGGAGAGAGAGAGAGAGAGATCACAGTGGAGTCAGCTGTCTTAACTGTGGCTTGTGTACTGCACACACATACCAGCTTCATCACTGTGTCTGTCACACGACTCTGTTCCCCTTTCCGGCTCTGTCTTTACATTTATTTTGAAAGATGAAGCTCGCGATTATGGTAAGGGGCGTTACATTTCCGACGAGTGCTTGCGGTGTTCGGCCAATCACAATGCACTGGGTCAGCTGGCCAATCAGAGCAGACTGCGCTTTTCGGAAGGAGGGACTTTGTAGAAAACGAAGTGTTTGAGAGAGGCGTGGCATAGAGGACCTACAATAATGTACAGTATTTGAAAAATAATGTGTTTTTTGAACATTAAAGCATGTCAACATATTCTGTTACAACAAAATACACAAAATAATGATCTTTAAAAAAGCATCGTATGACCCCTTTAAATTCTGCCAAGCTCGAGAACACATCAACGACTTATTCATGCCTTTCATTACATCACCTAAAAAAAACAGGCAAGTAAAGGAAAAACTACACAAAAGCATCTTCTACTACACAAGAAAAAGAGCAGGCGTGCACTGTTTGGATAAATCAGCTTTTCTCAGTCTGTAGAAGAAATCCTCCACTTGGAACACAAATGAGACATGTTAAAAGCATTAAGCCCCCGGCACTGGTGTAACCAAACGATACGCTTTTCAAACTCAGCCAACAGTGCTGTCAGCATGTCTCATCACACAATGTGGGTCTGGGGCTCAGCCAGGTGTGATTTTTGTACAGCAGAGCTGCAGTGAGAAAAACTATGCTTCAATCTTATTACGAAAGATCACAGGTGATTTACAGCGATCCATGGCAGCTCGACAGTCCAACAAAACATTCTCAGTTTCAAGCTCAAATGCATCTTGTGGCTTCAAGTTTCTTCCCCTACTTACAACCATGAGCAACAAAGACAGCTCACAGCATCAAACTACAAAATTGATTTATAATGCAAATCAAAATTAGATGTTTAGTTCTTTAACATGAATTAAAGGGTGCTGGTAAAATGCCAAGAATTTATGAAGACCATTAATAGTAATAATAATGCCATAATGCACCACTTGTCATTTGGCTGGTCCTACAACACCAATGCCAGTTTGGCCAATGCTAAAAGCAGAAACATGTCTGTCGTAATGAACTTTGGTCAGCTGTGAAACCATCAGTCAGTGACACAAATCGTCATGAAAAAGCCATGAACCTGAGCACAAAAGCTGCATTTTAAAAATCGTGCACACGCGCTGCCTCGCAACACCAAAAATGGCAGCATTATTAATTCATCTCTCAAGAGATATAGGACTGAATGCCAACGTAGACCCCGAGGCATTCATTTTCAGCAATTACTAAACGCAGCATATTCGGCGCTCCCTACAAAGCGTGCAGGGATCCATTCATCACCTGGCTTTACAGTACCATCTGGACACTGGGCTGTTTGTCTTTTAAAGTGATCCCATTACTGGAAGGATGGGCTGTAATATAGATCTAAATTAATCATCTAACATAATGAATTGGCTATCGACTTATATAATGTGCTTTCAATTACATATGGGGATTGAAAAATCTGATGATTGTTGTTCAAAAGGAAGTTGCAAAATGGTCTAATCGGCACAAAACCTACAGGCTTTGCATGTGTTAAAAAGCGTACATTGGTCAGGAAGTGAGGTTGTGGCTCATTCCGCTCAAGCTTACAGTTAAGGGCCTGTTACAAGCGGAAAATATCAAATGACAACCGGAGAAAGAGGAAGATGTTGTATACATTTCATCAGAGAGAGCCAGAGCATTCAGACGTAACATGCAGGAAATGTTCAAAATGCATGAATTTCCTTAGAATGGGGTAATGAGAGGAAGACAAGGACAAATGTGCATCTTTAATAATTAGAATCTCATTGTGCAGCGGCACATTTTGAGATCTTGCACTAGAGAAGGCAACGAGTGTTATCACTATGTTGGAGACACGCTAGCTTTCCCAAGGCTGACGAATTTAGAGTGGTTACAATCATCTGGGTTTAAATCAAGCTCAAACTGATTTGATTTTGATGCAATATTTACTCTGAAGCTCGCAGGCAGCTATGGTAAGGGGCGTGACATTTCCCGACCAGGCACCGAGTGCTGCCAATCACAACACACACTGACCCAGCTAACCAATCACAGTACATTTCTGTATTTCAGAAGGCGGGCCTTCAATTTGATACAGGAACTATTCAAGCCGTTCATGCCAGACTGGGGAGAGAGGTGTTGTAATAATGTAAAATATGTGAAAAATCATGTGTTTTTCGAACAACTTGGGCAAGACTTTGTAAAAGAGCATAATAGGACCCCTTTAAAAGTCACTTCAAAGTCACATGAACAGTCAGTGTTTGGGACTGACAACCATATTTACTTGTGATTTTGAGGTGAAACATGACCCAATATTCTTCCTAGAACTATTCTTCGCTGACAATAAGCAGCTCATTAAGCCAACAACTTTAATTTTAAAATGAAACAGGCAAGCATGCAAATGAAAGTGCAACTCAAGCAAGCTTTCCAAACATACAAGAATTACTTGTCTGAACAGAAAACTCACCTTCCCGTGGTTTACAAAGCCATGCTTTCTAGCGATCCGGTTAGCTTCCTGCTCTCCCCCTGTGATGTGGACGGCCCATGTGTTGGTGTAAACCTTCTGTCCAATGGATGGCCGTGGCCCAGAGGTCACGAGAATCAGCAGTGTCCCGAGTATCAATGAGGCAAGCCTGAGATCCATCAGACACAATGGAGGGAACCAAGGCAGGAGTTCCTGATGTCACCAAGTCCGTCAACACAGCGGCCCTCTGCTATATCCGTGCTGCCCTGGGCACATGTAGAGACGGAGCTGAGGAAGAGAGATGGACTTGGAACGTTCAGGAATCACCTGCGGAGGGAAGTAGATGGAGCATTGCAGAATGAGTCATCTGAGCAGCTGGTATAATTGAGGATATGAATCACAGATGAGCTTTAATACCATGGAATGGACTAACTGGTTAAAAATTAACAGCACACCCAAACAAACAAAGTTTCGTTTTGCTGGTGAGAGCTAAATGCAGGGATTCGATTCCAATCAGTTACAGGATCTTAGTCATATTTTATTTGATGCAAATGTAAAAGAGGCTGTGAGGTGGTGTAAATTGCATTCATCTACCTGGGATCATAGAAAAAAAATATCTAAAATATGTCTTGAAAAAACTTAAGACAACTACAAAAAAAAAAAATCCAGAATGCATGAGCTGTGAATAATAAAGGGCGTTCACCTTGACAAAGATTTGCAGGGATCACAAGGCATTTGTTTTCAAATACAAGTTGAGGTGACTTGAGCAACAGCAAATTTACGCAACTGTGCAGCATCATGACACACTCACATGATTTGCCGCCAGATACAGCTGTATATTCTAGCGGAGTATGAATGCAACAGTTCAGATATTCTGCAACCTCCAGCAAATTAATTACGATCAATGTACATGCTTCTTTAGATGCAATCTGAGACATTAATACTGTACAACCATCTACTGAAAATTATACAGAAATACTACCAGCATATTCACAGAAAATGGGGGGGGGGGACGTATGCTTTCTGACTTCCGTAAGTGATGTGCCAAGTCATCATCTTTGCTGGTAAGCTACCAGTAAACTGAAGATGGGAGGGAGGACAGCTGACTTATTCTTCTAGAGAAACATTCATCAACTTCCATATTCAGTTATGTCAGACTGTCATTTCTTTGCAAAACCATCCCATCGTTTCTCCTCTCTTATAACTAAGCAAACGCTGATGCAAGATTCTTGACATGAGGCTCAACTTGCCATAAACTTAAGCTGGTGATTATTGAATAAAGCAGCGCATTCAATTTACCCTTGGTTTCATCCATTCATTTGTCTAAAGGTAGAGGAAAAAAATTAATTAAAAAATTCCAGAAACCACTTTTATTGACTGCTGGGATGAGTTGGCTTGCAATTTATTTGATCTTATAGAAAGAAGAAAAACTTTAAAGAGGCAAAAACCCTTGCTTGTCCTGAATAAGTCTGGATCGATTCAGCAGAATTATCTAGCACATACGATTCATGCTGAGTCCGGTTGACCTGTCCACACCCTTAATGGCCTATTTCATAATCACATAAACGCTTGTTGTCTCATTGGACAAAATGGGTTCTTTTTTTCTGTAAACAAGAAAGGCAATTGAAATTATGTCTCACAATCTGATAAGACAACCCATCTTCTGCTAAACATTTGCATTCTGCTTCACTTAAAGGCAAAAAAGTGGGTGTACTTTGTACTCAGTGATATTATCACCATAATGTCAAAAGAATGCTGTCCGATGTGTTAAACTGAACCGATTCAGATGCACTACCTGTTCTACCACTAATTTACCATCAGGAAAGAAAATATACTGTATATTCTGAAACTTAAACAGGATTTCACACAAACACCTTCATTTTTAAACTCAATATGCTGTATAATATGTAGGTATGTACATGTATGCACCTAAAAGTCAACTTTTAACAAACATAATTTTGGAAGTTTTCATTGAAATTATACATGGAAATCAACATGCATTTTAAAATTCAGATTTGAAAGCACAAAAGTGAAAAAAAAAACAAATGACAGAATTCAGGCTACATAAAGCTTGTATTTGTATTACAAGTTTAGTACTCCGATTCAGCTTTACTGTAAAGTAAACAGCTTACAGCAGCTTTGATCACCACGAATCAGTAAACACTGTTTATGAAAACACAAAAATACTGCTACAAAGATTTGACAAATGAATCAATTAATTTACCTAATAAGATCAAAAGTACTACACATGCATACACAAATTTAGACTACATATTTAAGACCATCATTTTCACAAAGTATTTCACAAGCATTAAAACACTTCCACAACTCCAAACCTTTTTTGCAAAAACAAAAATAATAATAATAATAATACAATTCTTACAAATTATTTATTAAGACAAACTTCACAGGAAACATGAAACTAAAATACTGTTTACATGCAAGTTCTTACAGCAGTTTATTTCAACTTAGTAATAGACTTCAGCTCACTTAACCCCCATAACAAAGTTTTTATCAGGTCAAGAGAACAAAATAAAGAACGATACTCACTTGAGCACTGAACGTGTGTCTAACCCTGATTAAGTAGGCTAAGCACTAAGCAAGAAGTGTGTAACTTTCCTGACAGCAATTTAAAGCTGTGCCAGCCCTGATTTCAAAGTACACCCACTCATGACATCACAACATGGTTAACACTTCACAGGGAGAGGAAACAGGCACAGAGATGTTTGACGGTAATTGTAGACCACTTGGAAAGAACTCAAAATGTGGGACTTTTAGATAAGTCTGCTTTATCCGAAAATGTTGAAGGGAACTATCCCATTACACTGGGATTGGTAATGGCTGAAACATTAGTCTCATGAGGGAAACGAATGAACACATGATCAATTTAACTACTTCGAGGGGAAGAAAACACCAGAAAAAGGAAATAAACTTTGAGATGGGGATCCATGCACTTCATGCATAAAGTTAATAACAATAATTTACTTGGATATAATTAATTTATTGAATATTTAATGCTGAATACTCCACTTCACAACAACAGAGCAAAACAGCCAGCATATATTGATAACAGACAATAGAAAAAATTTCAAAACAGCATTTGGACACTTAACTCACACTTACATTTATTAGACCACAAAAAAACTAGTGGCATCTGCAAATAAGCTATGCTTTTCACAGAACTACCTTTTATGAGGCATTTTTGTTTTTACTTTTTATCAGCTGGCCTTTTAAGAGTCAAAATCAGAAGTCTTGTTTCTCAGATGTGCAAGAATACAAGATCCATACTTGAAAATGATATGACACAATCATACGATTAAATAACACAGCTAGATAAATAAAATAAGTTCAAATGCACACACACACACACACACACACACATATATATATATATACAGTATATACATTTTACATACAGTTTGATGTCTTGTTTTATATGCATGTATGTATGTGTGTATATATATATATATATATATATATATATATATATATGTGTGTGTGTGTGTGTGTGTGTGTGTGTAAAAAGAGCAATGACAAAAATATAACAAGACATCAAACTGTATGCACAGTTTTTAGGACTAATAAAAGAGCATAAAGCAATACGAAGTAGTATGCACAAATTGTAAGTGTGGAAATGTGTGTTCACACTAGCAGAGTAACTACAGATGGGAGGAAGGTTAACAACCAGAATATTAACTTAAAAGTGTCTGATGCTAATGGGGGGAGGTGGGGGGGGGGGCTTTACTATAAAAATTGTTTTGCTTGAAAAATGTGTTTGTGTTGTTTTAAAATTGAATAACATAATATGAAACTACTTGATATCCATTGGAATTAAAGTAGGTTTTAAGTGACCAAATGTTTTAGGGGAACACACACATTACATGTTTTGTTTCTGCATTTATTGTGCTGTAACAGCTGCACGCCGATGTGTCTTTTTAAATAAGTCTAGTCTATAGAACATGATAGTATTCAAAGAGGAAAAGTTAGTCACAAAACATTCTGCGGTTCACATAAGTTTGTAAACTCTACTTTAGTACGGAATAAGTCATATGCCACTTCAGTGCATAACACAACAATCCTCACGGTACTTCAGAAGTACTAAATTAATGTCTTACCTCAACAGCATCAGCTTCTAATCTTCCGTTTCCTTGGACACCTCGTAAATCCACGAAACCTGTCCTCGGACACGACGAAAAGTCCTCCGTGTCTCACTGAGCCCCAAACCAAGCTAAACTCAAGACGCCGACGAAGTAGGTTAGTGTTGTCAAGAGGACAGACTCAAACGTCCTGACGTGCTGGACTGTCCTAAAGTCCAAGCGCACTCATCTACTGTACATTAGGGAAACTTTGCGATAGGTTTGCTTGCTCTGTCGCACGTAACGCGACGCTACGGCATCACTGAGAACTGGTTCGTCTGAGCCACCTTTGGACCGATACGCCAACATAGTTACGGACGCATGCTAGAACGTTTCAAATCGGCGGAAGCGAGTAAACAAACAAATTATTAAAAAAAAAAAATACACCTCTATCCAGGGACTGGACTGGAGAGGTAGCCCACGGACTGCTTCCCAGGAAATACGTCACAGATATACGCAATGAGATGCGACGTCAAGACGCGTCCGCTTGAGCGCGTCACGCGGTGAGCGATTTGCTTGCGCCATCTGCTGGATAGACGCGCGTAGTTCACTTCAAAAACACAAGGTGTTTGTTTGTTTGTTTGTTTGTTTGTTTGTTTGTTTGCTTGTTTGTTTGTTTTTAAGGCTAGTAACAAAAATAGAAAACAAAATACGCAATGAGATGCGACGTCAAGACGCGTCCGCTTGAGCGCGTCACGCGGTGAGCGATTTGCTTGCGCCATCTGCTGGATAGACGCGCGTAGTTCACTTCAAAAACACAAGGTGTTTGTTTGTTTGTTTGTTTGTTTGTTTGTTTGTTTGTTTGCTTGTTTGTTTGTTTTTAAGGCTAGTAACAAAAATAGAAAACAAATATAATACATCAAGACACAAAATTCTTACGATATAAATATTGTATGGGGGTGATTTTTTTAATACTTTATTAAAAGCTTGCAGGCTTGTGTCCATTCAAATTAAAGTTCACTTCATATTTTGGGAAAATGAATCACCTGGATATTTAAATATACTCGTTTTTCCATGTTATGTAATTACAAATATATGCTTAAACCAAAATCGTGAC